ATGTACATACACACACAACACGCACACACACACACACACACACACACACACACACACACACACACACGCATAAACACACACGCACACACACACGCACACACACATGCACACACCCACACGCGCGCAAACAAATAAATATACGTGTACGCGTGCACGTACACAAAACGCCCCTCTTTCACGTGGATTTGGGTGGCATGATCACGGGTTGCATGCATTCATCCATAGGCCTATTATGTTGCAGGTCGTTTCGACTTAGAGCTGTTTATAAGGGTCTGCTGTTATGCTCGATCAGAAAAGTAACAGGTGGCAGAAGGCCAGGCCCCTCTATTTATTGTTTGTTATGTCTGCTCGTCTTCCTCTTTGACTGTCTGTCTTCTTGTGTTCTTGTTCAGGTTTTTTTCTTGTTCTTGTTCTTGTTCTTGTTCTTGTTCTTATTCTTGTTCTTGTTCTTGTTCTTGTTCTTGTTCTTGTTCTTGTTCTTCTTCTTCTTCTTCTTCTTCTTCTTCTTCTTCTTCTACTTCTTCTTCTTCTTCTTCTTCTACTTCTTCTTCTTCTTCTTCTTTTTCCTTGAGTTTTTCTTTTTCTTTTCTTTTTTAAATTTAGATTCCCTGACAATGTATTGGTATAATCGTATTTTTCGCAAAACAAAAACACAGGTGCGCATATCTGCACGCATTGGTGTAATGTTGTTGTTGTTTGTTTGTTTTTAAAAATTCTTTTTCGGCTGGGAGTTTTGCTGCTTATATAGAAAGGGGTGTTGCTGACATAAGGTAGTTTCTCTCATAAGGACCATTTTCTCATTGTGAAGGGCGCATAACAATATTATGGTACACGTATATCCAACTGGGACCCACCTGATGATATTTAGCCAGTACTTAATATCAAAGCTTGGTGTGTGTTCATCCCCCCCCCCCTTTCCCTCCAGCCAAATTCAGAAATATTAATAGTACACTCGTATAGATGTAGCCTACATACCAACCAGTCTCCAGGACAAGGACTTCTCCATTACTCGTTTTGCGCAATTCCAGGACTCCCCAACTACATTATGTTAGCAATATCCCGTTCTATATATATATATCTATGGAATCTACGATAATCTCAAAATGTGCACCTGAAAAAAAGAAACGGAATACGAGACAATTTATTTTGCTCACAAGAATCGGACTACCTAAATTTACCACGGTTTTATGATTGATCCTTTTCCGTGTCTAAAGTGACTTCATGTAGGAATGCTGACATTTCTTGTAAATTAATATTTATTGAAGTGGCATTTGACTATAGATCAATGAAATATGGAAGTAAGTGTAATTACTCCAATTCACTTTTGTCCTGGGAAAGAGATCGACTGTCTTTTAAAATTGAGAGTTCTCAGGTTTCCGTGGTGGGCGAATTTTAATTTTAGTCGTGTTGCATCAACAAAGATTTTTTATCCTAAAGAAAAGAGGTGTTGGTAATTTAAGCCTGCATTGACACAATTAAGGGCGCTTTTTCGGTAGTTCCCACCCCCCTTATTTGATAGAGCCTGACCTACATCTAGATCTATACGTTTGATTCGCGGCAAGCTAAGACTAAGATGTCAAACCTAACAACTGCAAAACATTAAATTGTGGTAAAATTCAGGGGGGCATGCCCCCCTGAAACCCCCCACCTTGTTTTTATTAGGTCAGGGGGGCAAGCCCCCCTGAAACCCCCCTACTCTTGGGGCCAAAACCGGCGAATAACAAATGCGGGGTGGGAACTACCGAAAAAGCGCCCAATTAAGATCAGTTACGAAAACGGGCATTGACCCTGCCAGTGTGGGACAGCCTGGGCTGAGATGGATACACAGAGTCTCTCAGCCGAATTACTCGGAATTCTAGATCTAGATTCTAGATTTAGAGTCTATCAGTCTAGAGATATTAGATTATTCCTACATGTATGTGTATGCCATCTTTCATCTTGATCACAGATCTTAAATCTCTAGAAGATCTAGATTAGCCTTGATAAGATAATATATGTAGAATCTAGATCTATATCTAGATATATAGATCTAGATAGATTCTAGAGGCAACTCGAATTTCTCCACTCTCTGCGCAGAAATCGAAAATCGAACTCGGGTCTCCCTGGCCCTGGTGAGAATTGGATTAACTATGACCTGCTATTCTCATTCCCCCCCCCCCCCCGACATCGACAGTGATGTAGATCTAGATCTAGATTTAAATCACTATACTTCTTTTTATGTAATTGTTCGGCCTGCTCATTCCATCCCATGAGAAGAAGGTAGTGTGCTCATTACAGAATTAAAGTCGGGATGTGATGGAAACTTACGATGCAGACTTTTGAAACAGCTATGACCATCTTAATCAGATCTTTGTTTAAAATAAATCTTTAATTTTAATTAACAAATAGAATAATATAATGTAAAAACATTTTTCGCCTCTCCAGTTAAAAATAATTATTTTATTGTATATCTCACTACCGACGCTGCTGCACGGGATGTGGGACCGGCTGCCAGTCGGACCATTCGTTGTTTACACACTTAACGATGGCAGGCCTCTCTGCCTATACACAATAAAAAATAAAAGCTATATTATTTTGTCTCAAGTACACCTCAAAGGACATTGACTTTTACACACCTGTACGGCGAAGTAATTGAAATTAGTTTGACTTTTCGGTGTTTGTGTTCCAGCTTCCTGTAATTTTCTTTCAAAGATAAAAGGAAAAGAACCCGGCACCGCAGGCACAGTTAAATGATTGTGGGATTTTGGGTAATCTATGTTCAACATATCCAGGTTTTATACTGTATAGATCTAGTCTAGATCTATAGATTTTTTTTTCTACTTGGCTTTGGTCTTCTCTATCCTCTTGGTTCATTGTCACTATAACTTTTGTAGACAGCCCCCGCACTCTTGTAGATCTGGAATAAACCTGTAACGTTTACTTTCCGTATTGTTGTTGCTTTCTTCTTCGTTTTCAAAATTGTTTGAATTACTACAGTGGAAACCATATAACAGGCCCGGTAATAACAGGGATCCGGTAATAACAGGGATTTTTAAAATCCCTGCTTTTTCCTACTCTTTGTTTCTATTTAAAGTTATCGGCAATGACAGGGCCTCATCAGAGCCCAACCGGTTATAGCAGGGACAAAGACTCGTTTACAATGAGAAAAGAGAGAGAGAGAGAGAAGAGTAACGCAGTGATGGAGCAAGCCCACGCAAGCCATGCCGCTGCAAGCACACACAGCATGTGCAGCAAGAGAGGGCTGCGGTGTACTGCAGACCTCAATCTAGCCAGAAACCTAGCAGCACGCATGCGTAATGTGTCGCCAACGATATCAAGCGCAAGAGAAAATGCCTTTCAATTGACAAAAAATACGGAATAATCCAGGCTGTTGACAAAAAGCAGGCTCGACTGGCAGAGATTTGTCATCAGTCCACGAGAGTCGATTCACACCATTATCAAGGATAGAGAGAAAAAAGTGGCAGCATACTCCAATGGAAAGTTTGCTCTGGATCGAAAGAAGATGAGACTGCCCGATGCAGATACTATGGACCAAGCTCTTCTGATGTGGTTTAAGTTTAAGAGGCAAGGAAAAAGTTGGTGCCAAAACCTCTGTTCGTGGGTACTTGTGGCAAGGGAGACTACCCATGAATAAGTACAGCTGGATAAGTCCACAAATGCTTACTTTTCTTGCATTTCTGATTTAACAGGGATCGGATATAACAGGACATTTTCTCTAATCCCACCATCCCTGTTATATCAGGTTTCCACTGTATATCTAATTCCTGACATTTTAAAATTGGCTCACTGATTGTGAAACTAGCTATTCTTTTTAACACAGTACTTAAAAATGTGTCAGAGTATATATATCTAGCTCTCACTGGCAAAATTGAGGGCAAGCGAGGCAGGGGAAGGCTCAGAACAACATACTTGGGGAACCTAAACAAATGGGTAACAGGGAAAGATCAAGGAAACATGGCTTTTTTTTAGAGCATCCAAGCAAAGGAATGAATGGAGAACCATGATCGCCGATGTCTGTCGCAGATCTGGCACTGGATGATGATGATATATTATATATATATTTCTATATTTTTATATACAGTCGAACCTGTGTAAGACGGCCACCCATTGTCAAGGAGAAAAGTGGTCGTATAAGACAGGTGGCAGTCTTAGGCAGGACTGATCAAGATGAAGAAAACAAAACATTCCTTTCTGAGAAAACAAACCCTTCCTTTCTGAGGTCCCAACCGAAGTTAGTAGCCTTGTTGTTGTTTTTGTTGTTGTTGTTTTCGCTGGGTTTTCATTTTCTTTTGTTGCTGCTTTTGTGTACGGGTGACAATAAAACGAAATATGTCAGACAGGGAGGACCAAGTGAAACACCCGTACTACCACTCGGACAACAAGCGACGCTTCTGTGACAAGTTCATGCTGACGTCCATTGTTACTTTGTTACAGACTGGGTAAACAGTGACCACTCATCTCACTTGCGATTTGTGTATGGGTTCTGGGTGGGGCTTATGGGTTATGAGGGATCACACGCTTCCCTCCCCAACAGCTGAAAATTAATTTTGTTACCTATTGGTCAACAGTGGGAGGGGCCTACGCAACATGATCAGTTGGAGGGACTACCTCACAACAACGACAGGTTTTTAGATTATGATGGCTCGCCCACAACGCCAGGGGCCAATGCTTGATTTAGGACAAAGCGTAATGGAGTCACTAAGGCAAGGTGGCCGTCTAAGACAGGTGTTATTGCTTTGTGTGATAGGGGTTGGGTGTTGAAATATGGTGGCCGCGCCGCGTTGGACAGGTGCCCGTTTTACACAGTTAAATTATATAGAAAAAACGCAAGGGGGGAAATGGAAAGTGTCCGTTTGTACAGGTGGCCGTCTTATAGAGGTGGCCGTCAGGGCAGGTTCGACTGTATTATCTTCATTAAAAAAATTTTTTAATTACAGGTCAGTAAGTAGGCCTATTTGTAAGGAGTAAACATTTCATAAAACTAATCATTGCCAAGGGCTTGCATGTGTAGGATAGAGCTAAAACTGTGCTGTTTATAATTGTTATAGACTAGTGCTGAGCTGAAATTTGCTTGAATATATATATATATAATATAGATATTTCAGAAAATTGGAAGTGTGAAGAAGGAAGAGAAGCTTGGACCTGACCTACAATAAAAATAGCCAGTACAGTATCCTTTTCATTTTCAGAACCAGGAAGCCTTCTTGAAGAAAAAATTGCAAAACTTCCTTCATGAACTACAACGGATTGGCACTGTTGGTGGCTTCAAACACTTCTCTTGCTACGTCAGAGGCAGGGAGGAACTGGTGGTCAGCATCAACAACACATTAGAGGTAACTGGTCAGCATCAACAACACGTTAGAGGTAACTGGTGGTCAGCATCAAGGTTAGAGGTAACTGGTGGTCAGCTTCAACAACACGTTGCAGGTAACTGGTGGTCAGCTTCAACAACACGTTACAGGTAACTGGTGGTCAGCATCAATAACACATTAGAGGTAACTGGTGGTCAGCTTCAACAACACGTTGCAGGTAACTGGTCAACCTAGACTGAGAATTGCAGGCTTTCTTTCTGCGCAACACAAATGATACAGATGAAGATGAATGAGCTGGTTTATGTCTTTTATATTTGTGAAACTTCTATGTTTTTTTGTCTTTAAATTTAAAAGTTGATGAGTAGGTATTATTCAAAACTGTCTTCAAAATTGTCCCTGTCTTGAGCTATAGACCCTCTGCATTCAATAATGATAATATGATAGTGTCATGTATTGCTTGTTTATGAAAGATGCTAGAGAGGCAGAATGCTTCTGTATTTTGTTGGCCTTTCTTTTCTCCTTTTGATGTATTTCTGTATGTGGTCTTCCTTTTTCCCAACATTACCATTTTTAAAAAATATTAGTCTTCTTCTCTTTATACCCTTATAAAGATCCTTTGATGCATCTTGGAAGAGCTGCTATCTGCCTTTAATTTACCATTCTCTTTCTTCTCAAGGCTAGTTCCTACTCCTGTAACCTGTCGGGGCCCCCATCCAGGAAACAGTCGGTGTGCTACAGCGACAGTTTCACATCCGCTCAACTACCTTATGACAAGTAAGTTCCTTTTAACCACACCAGTCATTTAATCTGGACACATGCTACATTAGTTGTGAATGTTTTGATCCTAAAGATTATTCCATTTCTGCAGATTTTTCTTAAAGAGCTTGGTAATCTTTACGGTATATATACGAACTTGAGAAATACCATGTGACATAACAGCCAGTGAAATAATAAAATGTTTTCCACCCATTCTCGTTGTCCCGTTCAGGAGATCCCTGGTGCTGTCCCACAACTCCCAGCTTGGGCTCAGCGGCCTGCAAGAGAAGGGTGTGGGTCTGCCCCCTGCTTCCCCATCAGAGCAAGAGGGCACGCCAGTGAGTGTCTGAGAGTTGCTGATGAACCTGCAGTGTTTTCAGATGTATTGTTTCTGCTGATAAATAGATCTTGACTTCAGGCCGGTTCTGATGAGACTAAGACAATGACAATGACAATATTTATTCATCTCACAGGGAGAAATTTGTGTTGGTTGTTTACAGTGGCAGTGGAATGTTACAAAGTAAAAGTTAGGTGCACTCACAATGCTTGCCTCAATTATGTGAGAGAATGAACCTTTATAATAATAATTCAGAGTTTTTTTGCATCACCTTCTAAAATTATTGCTGTGTGGAAAGTTTTCTTTCAGCATCAAATTTTGACCTTTTTAAAACCATTTTTGAGTTTCTTTGACAGTGATGTTAGCATTATTTTTCATAGCTAGTGCTGTATACCATCTGGTCTTTACTTTAAAAAATGTTTCCATTCCTCGTTTTTTTACCCCCATGTTGATATCTATTGAAACTTTGTCAATAGACATACAGGATAGCAGACTCAAAAGCACAGGGGTCTGTGTTGTAATGGTTAAGCACTTGTCTGTTGTAAGCAGAAGACCTGAGTTCGTTGCCTGTGACGGAAGAATTTTTATATATTGTCTTGGTCTTTCTGTTGGGATGTTGTATGCCTCTATGCCTTCTCAGCAAGGGTTGTCTCTGACACGTCGAAATGATGTAAATTATGTCAAAGGGGGCGTAAAAACACCTACTTTAAAAGAAAAAAGTTGAAAAGGCTCTGAACTATCCGTCAAGTCATAGAATTATGTAATATTTCTAATAGAAATATATTGTTTGCTTTAGTTTCTTTGATTCATACTTGTTGACCATCCTTTTTTCCAGGACAGAGAAACGACCCTGTTCCTTATTGCAGGTTATGCTCGTTACTCTTGCCCGTACGTGTGGGTGAGGTCCAATCACGAGCGACTGTTTAAGCTCTCGGGCGATACGGACAGGGACAGAGACAGTCCTTTGAAGCTCAAGTCAACAGCCAGATGGAAGGACGGAGGTGAGCTCTCCCCCCCGGAATTTGTAGGGTACTTTGTACTGGAAGCATTAGCCAATGGTTCACAGTGCCTCAGTCCTTTACGTCGATTTGTTTTCAGTGTGTTTGATTTGACAAAAGTGTGTTGTGGCGTAGGTGCTCTAGTGGTCAGGCTATTTAGCTCACAACCAAAAGGTCATAGGTTTGAACCCCATCAGGGGCTTGACATTGGCTTTTTGGGAAAGGCACTGTACGCATATTTTCCCTCATCTCACCCAGGTGGTAATGGGTACCCAGCTAAAGACAACAAAAGATCTTGTCAGGTTGTTTTTGTTCGAATGCTCAATTGGCTACTTGCACTGTAGACTTCTCAGACAGCCGAGAATGTTGCCTAATGTTCTTGGTTCTGCTGGGGTAATAATGGTTGTAAAACACATAGGGCAATCTGTAGAGCAAGGATATAGCACTGTATCCAATTATTATGATTTTTGTTTGTTTGTTATTGTTATTATCATTATTATTATCATCAGCATCATCATTATTATTATTATTATTATTATTATTATAGTCATATTATTATTATTATTATTATTATCATTATTACTGAAGATACTCATGCTGTGTGTGGTTTAATATCACCTTATAGTGGTTATTGTGTAATGGATGACAGCAGAGGTTCATCTTCTGTGATATATATCTGTTGGAGAGATGGGCCTCATTTTGTTTTACCACATTCACAAAATTATGTGTCACAACGTGGTGGAATTAGACGCTTTTCAATCTTGGGGCATGTGGAGTTATTGGTATCCTCTCAAAGCTTGTTTATTTCTCTTGTTTTCAATGACCCCCCACCCCCAGATTTACCGTGAATACAAGTGAAGATTTTTGTGATTGAAGGAGGTGAGAGTTGCCTAGTTTCAGAGGTAAAATTAACGAGAAAATGGGTGCCAAAGTTGGTTATTTCCATTGCTTGTGAGTC